CAGAACTCTTAAATATTTTTCGACTCGGGATACTACTAGAGAGGAGTTTCCTAAGTTGTAACTGTAATCTGCGACGTGTTGCAGATGGTCTACTTTACACTTTGAAGTGTTAAAGGTGAGTCCGTTATCGTCTGCCCAACTTTGAAGTTGAGTCAGGTCCTCCTGAAGTGTCTGCATATCCTCTTGGTTGTGTATCTCTCTCCAAAGTTTCACGTCATCGGCAAATAGCAATATGTCTGACGTTACCTGTTGAGGAAGATCATTTATATAAATCAGGAAGAGGAGAGGTCCTAGTACTGAGCACTGGGGGACCCCACTAGGACATTCCATAGCGTGTGAGAAATTAAAGTTGACCCTGACCTTAAAATGTCGATTTGTCAGATATGAACTGAGCCAGTCAATTAAAGGTGGTTTGATACCCAATTGTTTGAGCTTGTTAATAAGACATATGTGGTTAACCCTATCAAAAGCTTTAGAGAAATCACAGTAAATGATGTCCACCTTCACATATAACATTCTCAAATAACTTTCTTTACTGCAAACAATACCGACACACTAACCGATATATTTTATCTCAACATCAGAAGTATCATCAACAAAATCGCACCTTTAGAATACTGTAGACCTACGGTCTCCAAAGATCTTTATATACCGGTCGGTACACGAAGACGTCTTCAAAGACATTGTACTCGATTCCATAACTTTAACTTTAACTATCAGATTTGCTTGTAACATGGAACTAGTAGAGACAGTGTCTGGACTCTACTTTTATTTAGATCAAGTTGCAGTTCATAAGGATGCTTCCCAAACTATATGATCCCGCACTTCTTGAGGTTAAATGGTAGTTGCCATTTTTCACTCCAGATAGTTAAGTTATTGAGGTCATTTTGGATCAGAGGTACACTTTCGTTTAGGGTCTCAGGCTTATAACTGTATACTATCTTGAGATCATCAGCATATAAGTAAGGTTTCCCAAATGTTATGGTGTTACATATATCGTTTATATACATAAGAAACAAGAGTGGGCCTAATACGCTTCCCTGGATGACTCCACTAGTTATTGGTTTAGGTGATGAGAGACAGTCATTGTACTTTACAATCTGTTTACGTTCGGTTAAGAACGAGGCAAACCATGAGTACAGTGGGTCGTTTATTCCGAAGGACTTCAGTTTGACGAGAAGCCTTTTATGTGGGAACTTATCAAAGACGTCTTTAAAGTCTAAGAATAGGACCGATACAAGGAGTCCGTTGTCTATTTTCAGAGTTATATCATTCAAGTAGTCTACTAGGCATGTATCGCATGATCTTGACCTAAGAACTCCATGCTGGGAGGTGGAGATGAGATGATTAACTACTTTTTCCATCACTCTAGATACCACTGAAGTTATGTTCATGGGTCGGTAATTGTCAACATTTGCTTCAGGTCCTGTTTTAATTTTCGGAATGATATGTGTAGTTTTCCAGGCAGTAAGGTAACACGCTGTAGAGAGTGATATCGCAAATAGTTTGAGAAGCGAAACACACATATCATCACCTCCACGTTTTAGCATGCTAGCTGGAATACCATCTGGTCCATCAGTGTATGAGTGTTTCAATGTACTGATTGCCTTAGAGATATTTTGTACATTGAGGTCTTCATTAGTAATTTCACAGGAAGGTATTGGGATTGGTTCTGAATTGTCTAGTGGTCTTTCGATAGTACTATGTATAATATTTTTTTGGAAGAAAAAACTGAATTTAATATGCTTATATATTTTTATTTTTTCAATTTCAAAAAAGAAAATAAAACAAAAAAACGATATTAAAAAAATCCTTTTTTTTACGCTATTACGTGAACATGAGTTTATTTTCCACTTTTTTTCGCCCATTTTGTGTTTCCACGCTTGTATGAGTGTATTCCGACATGCACTTACACTTTTTTCTTTTCCAGGACGGCAGGAAAACGCGATAAAAAGAACGATGAAGTTTGCGAGAAACGAAAATCTTCATTGTAGCTTTTCTTTTTTTACTATGTTGTACATCATGGTCCATTATAGTCAGGAAAGACGACCAGACGCTGCTAAACCTAGCAAGTTATCAGAAGAGTGTTTACCAACGAAAAACTCGTTGGGTTTAAACTTCCGGCTGGCCACGTCTTAGGGTCATAACTACCCCACTAGGTGGGGAGTGATCTGTAGCGGTAAATAAATCCCCAAATTAAATAGCTCTGTAAGTTTTCGACATTTGATGCTGACCACAGTTTTAGTGCACTCATCTAGCTGAAGGCGCTCGGTCGAGCATCCGCACCAGATCACGTGTGGGAACGCCGTGCTCAACATCTGCCGCAATCGCTAGCTAGATTAATGCAAACGATCCTCGATATATTGATAGCTTATCAAATATATCTTCGATCACCTCGCTTCTGTCTTTTGATCTCACTTGGTGGGTGCGCTTCATATTAGAAGTTGTTACTGGTTAAAGAGTTGTCAAACTCCAAATACCTGTGGCATCTTCAGTAAGACTGTCTACCACCCCGAGCTTTCTAGTTGGATTCATCTACAGTCAGCCTATTGCTGACATCGAGTATGACAATCGTATGCTGGAAGGATTATCCCGCTCTACTCGTCTTGGATTCACTTATATCCTTATTCTTATTAAAGTCAATTTTGCGGAACATATGTTTGCAGGTGGCGACAACTCCACTGAAGCTCGGTAGTTCAACCTCACTGGAGATCTTAGTTTATTCGAAAATGCGACGTCGGAAACTCGTTGGAGAAACTGTCTGACCCAGTCGCACTTAGGTTGGGTATTTACACACGAAGAATTCCTAATTGACAACCGCTCAACCCTGGCTCTCCTGGGGAGAAGCGAACAAGCCGTCATAGCCTCTAGTTTCACCAGCGAAACTGAGCTAAGATATCCCATCAACAAGAAACGCTGGAATTTCAAACGGTTGAATGTATCAGCTTTACAAGACAATCTACAACAGGTGGGTTGGAACATTCACCCTCAACTTGATGTAGATACTCTTTGGAGTTTCTTACCGCACACGATCATATGTTCTACAAGGCACTTTTTTCCTCAAATGGTCCCCGAAAAACTTATTCCATTATGCAGCCTCTCATCGACAAGTCAAACTGGAGTTTCTCGACTGCTAGATCCTAATGACCCAACCAATAACGACAGTGACGCCGTTAACCTTCTGGCTAAACAGTATTCTCGGATACCTGAGCAGCATCAATCCCGGAAACAACGCTTAGCGTGATGTACTCACACCGAAGTACATTACCAGAAAATTGGAAGTTGGCTCACATCACACCAATCTTTAAAGATCGACGCAGGGATCCTTCAACCTAACGACCGGTGGCTCTTCTCTCTGTACCCTTAAAAATTATGGAGTCTATGATATGCGGCGATATACACGACCATTTATTATCCGCAAACTTCTCTTCACCCCGACAGCATGGTTTTGGGGAGAGTCATTCTTGCGTAACCAACAGATGGACAACCACACTTTATCGCAAGGGGAAAGTTGACATCATTTACCTTGACTTTTCAAAAGCTTTTGATAGGGCCAATCACATATGTCTTTTCAATGATCTCAAACGATTAGTCATAAAATCATCTTTAATTGATTGGCTTACTCCATATCCAAAAGATCGGCGTTTTAAGGTCAGGGTTAATTTCACTTTCTCTCAGGCTATAGGATGGCCTTGTGGAGTCCCCCAGGGTTCAGTTACAGGAACTGTTCTTTCCTTGATTTATATGAACGATCTTCGACAACATGTATCGTAAGATTTATCATTTTTCACTGATGATGTGAAACTATTAAGAGAAGTATGCAATTAAGAGAATAAACTGGCACTTCAGGAGTATCCGACTCAACTTTAAGGTTGTGTAGATGACAACGGTTTAAAAAGTAAAGTAGTCCATCCGAGACATGTTGCAGACTACAATTACAACTTAGGAAACCCTCTTAAAGCGTATCTCATGTTGGAAAAGATTTAGGAGTATTGGTACCCTACAATTTGAAGCCTTACGCTAACTGTGACAAAAATATCTTTCGAGCAAACCTTGCACTGGTAACATTGAGGCGCATCTTTGGCCAGTTTGACAAAATAACTTTCCATATAATATTTCACGAAATCAGTTCGGGGACTCAAATTTAAGTCTTATGAAAAGCGCCTTCAATCATTAAATCTTTATCCGCTGGAGTGCAGGCGTCTTAGAGGTGACCTAATCGTTTACAGTATCCTTGAACACCTACTTAAGTTTAACACGAACACAATCTTAAGGAGGTGATACCCAGAAACTAGAGACACAAGACAACAGAACAAACTGTAGACAAACTGAAGTCAAATGCTGGAATTCGCTGTCGGCTGAGCTAGTACAAGCGACTTTCCAGGAGCCCTTCAAGAGGAAACTTGACATATTCCTAAAAGCTAAAGATAGTATCTTACTGTGATTTACCAGTTTGTCTTTCCTCTTTTATCGTTAATATACCTAGGCTCCTGCCTGGAGTTATTGGTTATCCATTGCTACTATGCACGGAAGCACGTTCAGTGAAGGCTCCTTCTATTCCGTCCACAATCATTTGAACTATTTGATGAAAAATTGTCTTGAAAAGACCACGTGCAACTTAGAGACATTTTTTGATAGAAAAAGACGCATTCATTACCCTCGTTTTGAACTTAGTTTAGTATTTATGATTCATGGCTAACTAAATCAACAAAATCGTCTAAATTTTAATAATATATCTAATTTGATCCTAAATATCTCTAGTAAAAGCAAATTTCTTTAAGAAAAAACGTTGATGAAAAGCGTTTAGTCTACCATTTATGTTCTACAAAATCAAAGGATGGATAAACCACAATTCATTCTTACGGCTAAAACCATAATTATTTATAAGTTTTTGTTGTTTTTAGGATAAACTATGAGCTCATAACCGAGTGATATTGTTGCATTATGCCAAAAATCATAAGAAATGTAGGAGTTTTACTTTTCATTCTCAACGTAACAAGGATTGGATATTACCGATGATTGCCCGCGCCTTTTCGAGGTGGTGTTATGTGTCTGTCAGATGTTTTGCGGAAACATGTTTTGTCAAACATGGAGTTGGTTAGTTTTTATATGATTTAAGCTGAGTCATACTTATTTTGGGTGTTTATAAGTAATCACGTAGTGTTATTTGTAAGCGAACTTGTCAAAAGTCCAATCTCTCAAATTTAGGGAAATTTTGCGAAAGCCGCTATAAATTCTTCTGGAAAAATAGCACAAAACCCCCAAAAATTTGCGGATTTCTCCAGAGTATGGATATTAGGTAGTGATTAAAACCTGTTGACTACTGGTATAAGCTGCATAACTTTATTGACTATTCCAGTGGTCAACAGATGACGACCTTGCCATTCGAAATCACAAATACTGATGTCCAAATATTTTCAGAGATAGGTACACGGGAAGATGTCTTCTATCATTCCTTCAGGTTCTCTCTGTAGATATTACGTTCTGGTGTAGTCATAACTCAGGATTTCCAATATCGCTTGTTGTTGGGGGGAATTGCATTAGCACAGAGCTTGTTAATGAACACTTGATCAGACTCAGAATGTCTAAATCCTATATTTGGGCTATCAACTTTTTCGCAAATGATCGTTCGCACATATAAACATATCAGAAAAAGACAAAAAACACCATTCTGTGTTCAGAAAGCTAATATAAGATCACTTCGACTTACAATTGAATGGTGGATAGAGGCTCATGTCTTTCAGTTTTCACTCATTAAATTCAAAATGCCTTATAAAAACCCCAGTTACCAACCTTTAACTATATGGCGAAAAGTTTCTCACTGTTATCCTTTCAGATGAAGTTCAAAGTCAGCAAAAACTCCGAAGACTAAGTATTGAAATACTTGGATCATTGCAATTGGTGTTCATAACTGATCACAGGAGAGGGAAATTTATGATGAATACAGTGGTCTTGAGTACTATTAAAAGTATGGGGGCACTAATCAATTCCCGGTTGCCCACATCGTGGAAGGGTTCTTCTACAGGTACCTGAAAAGGAAATTAAGTTAGAGCTCATCTTAATGATCTGAGAGCATGACCGTAGTGCCAAAGGAACAACTGCTTGAGGTCGGTCACACGACCTTTTTGTGGGTACGATGAGACTATAATTTATGGATGATCTTTGAGCGACACTAGAGTGTCCACCTAATAACTAGGACCAAATGAGGGTTATAAAACAGTGTGGAGAATTAGAATTGCGATTTACAGTCGATGGTTAAGGTTAGAAATTAGATTTACGTTTTTCACGAACTGACATCGGGTATAATGCCAAAACTGTATTTAGTCAAATAGATGAGCGAATTTAGCGTCAAAATCTGAAACCTATTATCTTATACCTGATTGGTTCGTCCTTAATCATAATCTCGCTGTGAACACTTTTCGTGTTAAATTCGTACTTGTTGAGACCTTACTGACAGATACGGATATCCGTGGGATAAGGTGAGGTATACATTTCTAGGGTTGACCTTTTCTAACTCCACCCTTTGTTTGCGGGTAGGCAACATCACTGTCGTGCTGGTTGTCCGAAGGAAACACCTTACTGTCGTCACACCTCTGTACAGTCAACAGTATGACTTTGCCCTCGAACCTTGAGTTTGCTGCTTTCAGTCTTACCGTTCTTCAACCGACCTACCTGATATAGTTGGACCTTGAGGAACGATCGTTCCAGCCATTATAGTCTGATTGGTCTATCACGATAGGCAAGCTCAACCACCACGTCAAAGTGGTAGCAACGGTCGGGTCACAACTGATCATGTGAGTTAGTGCTCTCCATAACGTCAAATTCGTTTTATTGGAAACATTAACTTTTTTCCAATATGTAATCTCGTAAACGTCTCTTCGTCATAGATTGTTAGATGAATTTCGATTTAATCAAATATGTCCCTATTATTTACATTATAACAACTAAGTATAGTTTTCTGAACTGATTTGAGAACATTAGCTTCATGATAGTTCCAACTGATACAAAATACCGTCGTGGGACGACGACAGCTAAAATGTCACAACGAACTGAACACATTAAAAACCTAATCTGAGTTAAAGAGGAAGAATCATGAATCCAATATCTGTTCAGGTGACATTCACTTGATAATTTTAAGCAATGGTCTACGGTGTTTATTTATTTATTTATTTGAACACATAAATATTGGTACAGGGGGCACCAAATATATATGCGCCACACAAAACAATGATAATTTGAAGAGAAGGAGAAAAAAATGTATATAAAAAAGTAATGCACGTGGGGAATTATAAAAAAAAGAGGAAGAGAACAATGATGGGGAAAACGGAAAGGTACAATCAGAAGAAATCTTTCAGTTAAGGAAGATACAACCACTTTTTATGAAGAAAGTAAAAGAAGGTTACAGCAGGATCGCCACTGGCTTCTATTCTGAGCCATATCTGATAACGTCTCTAGCCACTGCGTTACACCGTCTCTCGGACCCCAGCCAGGGAGTCGTGAAGGTCCAACAGAAGCTAGCCCTTTGCAGCTTTCTTTCGTACCACGAGACCATGTCATATACTGACCGCTTCTCTGCTTTTTCCAACCAGTCCCAGAGTCGGCAAATAATGCACGACGAGGAATTCTCTGGGACGACATTCGTAGAACATGTCCAAGCCACCGAAGTCGGTGTTTCAAGATGGTGACACCAATTTCATTATCGTCTCTGTGACCGAACACACGATGCCGGACCTCTGCATTACTGACATGGTGTTGCCACTGAATGTCAGTAATCCTTCGGAGACAGCGATGATCGAACACAGAGAGTCGTGTAACATCCTCAACTCGGAGAGGCCAGGTTTCACAAGCATAGAGCAAAACTGCTCTCACCGTCACGTTGTAGATCCGACCTTTTACAGCCAGACTAACATCACGAAGGCGCCAAAGGTGGCCCAGATTGGCATAAGCCGCTCTGGCTTTCACGATACGTGCATTGATCTCATCACTCACGCCACCACCAGCACTTATGCAGCTACCTAGATACACGAATTTCTCGACCGCTTCTATCTGCTCACCATCCAGAGTGAGTACAGGATTAGAATCCTGCCAATCTTGTAGAAGTACTTTACACTTCGAAGGTGCAAAGCACATACCATACCTACGGACATTGATTGCCAACTGATTAAGTGCGGATTGCATGGCTTGGGCATTCTCGCACAGTAAGACAATATCATCCGCATACTCAAGGTCGAGAAGTCTTTCTCCAGGCAACAGATCCACACCACCATTACTTACATCCATCAGAGCTGTTTCCAGAATGTCATCGATGGCAAAGTTGAAGAGGAATGGTGAGAATGGGCAACCCTGCCTAACTCCACTGCTCGAATGGAACAATGGAGAAAGGTGGTTGTATGCTCTCACTCTGCCTGAGGTGTTTGTATATAGGGCTTTTAGGATGTTAATAAACTTCTCAGACACACCCTTCTTCGATAGACAATCCCAGAGAACAGTTCTGTCCAACGAATCGAAGGCAGCCCTGATATCAAGAAACACTACGATTGTTGGCCTTTGATAAGTATGGCGGTGTTCTAACACTTGGCGGAGGGTGAAGATATGATCAATTCATCCTCGACCAGGACGAAACCCAGCCTGCTCCTCGCGAGTCAATCCTTCTCGGGTTCTGAACAACCTACGAAGTATGACGGAAGCCAATAGCTTGGACGCAATCGGAAGTAGACTTATTCCCCGATAGTTGTTACAAGAACAACGTGAACCCTTTTTAAAGATAGGGACAACTATCGACTTATTCCATGAGGTTGGTACACACTCTAGTTCCCAGACCTTTGTAAACAACGTCGCCAGTCCCTTAGTCAGAAAGTCACCACCACCTTTAAAAAGAGCCGGAGGTAAGTCATCTGGGCCCGGTGATTTGTAACGTTTCAAGAGTTGGAGTTCCTTGCGGACTTCCGCCTCATTTGGTGGATCAGTCGTCACCGGCCATGGAGGGCAGGACAGTCTGACCGATGTTGCCGGAGCAGCAGGCCAGTTGAACTGCCTTTCAAAGAATTCTGCCCATCGTCCAAGACGTCGATGGATGTTAGTGATCGGCGTTCCATCATCCTCACAGATTGTTTCGCTCACACCAGACTTCTTGCTGCCAGTGGTTCGGATGAGTTGGAAGAGCTTCTAGAAGTTACCAGATGCAGCTGCTGCTTCCAGCTCATTAGCGCGCTCCGACCACCAGGCTTCTCGGTCCTTACGCAAGCTTTGCCCAATTTCATTACGTAACATCCTTCGTTTGTGGTCAAACTCACGGTCACCCGGAGTAGACCGACGGGCTTCAATCAGTTGTAAGGAACCAGAAGAAACCCAGTGCTTGTAAGCGGGACGTTTCGCGAACCCACAACTGACTTGACCCGCCATTTTCATGGCGTCATGCAATTGCAACCAATGCTCATCTATACTTTTCGGTGGAATGGTAGCTAGCCTAGAAGCTAGCTCGGTTCGGTACTCACTAGCAACAGAAGTTGCAACCAGCTTGCTAACGTCAATCCTTTGGTGGCGGTCACTTCGTTGTCCACTGAAAAGTAAGGTAAGATTGGCGCAGACCAGAGCATGATCAGATTCCAGATAGGTACTTCAAAAGGAGTGGCAGTCTTGTACACAACCACGCCAGCGGTAGCTGATCGCGATGTGATCAATCTGTATCCAGGCTTGAGATGTAGAAGGGGGACGCCAGGTGGCACATCGGCGATGACTGTGCCGAAAGTTAGTGCTAGCCAGAAACAGGTTGTGGTCTGTACATAGTTGCAGTAGACGTTCCCCGTTATCTGTCCTGCGACCAACAAGTCCCCATCGGCCACCTAAACGATTCTCTTCTGTGCCTAGACGCCCGACCTGAGCATTCAAGTCTCCGGCTAGTACTACAATATCTGTCGAACGCACTTTCTGGAGAAGAACAGATAACTGGTGGTAGAATTCATCATTGATTGCATCCGGGCTGCAATCTGTCGGGGCATAGGCGGAGATGACGAAAAGACATCGTTTCTCACGCCGATTTCTTCTCACTTTGATGGAACTTTCTAATCTAACAGCACATAACCGACTGTTAATGAGGATCCAGTCGATTAGTGCTGCCTCAACTCTAGCGCTTAGTGCGACACCAACGCCAGCAAGACCAGACGAAGATGCCACAGGGTCTCCGGATAAACGCACATAAAACAAGCTTTTTGAAGCGACAGATGGAGAGCGAACTTGTAGTACTTCACCAGAGTCTTGAATACGGGTCTCGGATAGACAACACACATCAATATTAAGACTTTCCAAAGACATAGTCAGCCCTATCTGTTGTCTGACCTGCATAAGTGTGCGAACGTTATTTATTTATTTTATTTATTTTATTTTAACACATAAGTATAGGTACAGGGAGGCACCAAATACATATGCGCCACACAAATCTCAATTGATTTGTGTGAGGGCTGTGATACTGCCCGGGTGCCCAAACCGAAGCAGGTGGTTTTCTTAGGGGGCCACACCCCGAGCCATTGACCTGAACGTCTGATCCACAAGGCAGTGGAGCATCGTAAGGAGATGCAGTCCCATGGTAGCCGGTGACCAACGATTGGTTCATACGCCATTTGTCCCCGCAGGATACTGGAGCCCATGTGCACCATTGGTTTGGGGTCCGGTTAAAGCGCTTTTCGTCCTCTCATTTTTGTAAACAACACCCCCGCCACGAGAAGGCAGTGAGTAGGACTTCCTTGGCAGAGGCTATATACGCATGGCCATGTGAGAGCATTTCGAGAGGGAGAGCGGACTCTCCCCACTCTCGGCCGTACCAGGGCATTTGGGGGCAGCCAGTTTGAATGGTGCACGTAGTTTCAGGAACACTGCTTCAGTACTCGTATTCGGTGGCAACATACAATTTTCAACCAGGCAGTGACTCGAGAACGTTTAGATAAAGCTGAATTTTAACCATAGGCGAGCTGCTGTCTAGGTCGAAACGGATACATAAAGTAGGAATAAGAGAGGGTGAATAAATGACGTGGTATAATAATAATAATAATAATAATAATAATAGTGATAATAATAGTACGAGTCATTTCAATGTTAATCAGAGAGAAAGGAATATTTTCCATAAGCAAATTGTTCATCACGATTTTAGTGCCTGGGCTGAGATACTGCCCGGGTGCCCAAACCGAAGCAGGTGATTTTCTTAGGGGGCCACACCCCGAGCCTTTGACCTAAAGGTCTAGTCCACAAGGCAGTGGAGCATCGTAAGGAGATGCAGTCCCATGGAAGCCGGTGACCAAAAGTTGGTTCATACGCCATTTGTTCCCGCAGGATACTGGAGCCCATGTGCACCATTGAATTGGGATCCGGTTTTAGCGCCGGACATTCGCTTTTCGTCCTCTCATTTTCGTAAACAACACCCCCGCCACGAGAAGGCAGTGAGTAGGACTTCCCTGGCAGAGGCTGTGTACGCGTGGCCGTGTGAGAGCATTTTGGGAGGGAGGGCGAACCCTCCCCGCTCTCGGCCATACCAGGGCATTTGGGGGTCTACGGTGTATTTATCACTCATCAACCTAAACCATTTATTTATACTTATGAACATGTATTGTATTTATTATAATTAACACCAAAGCTCGCCAAACCAGATTGACCAGGTTTTGTACACTTGAACTTGAAAGTTCAACGATAAAAATTTTTCGTTAGTTAATAACCATTCAGTTCAATTAATTATTCAGGATAATGTAACACTAGCAGTGGTTAGTAAGATCAAGCTAAAGGAGAGTTGATTTGCACCTAAATCAGGGAAATTCTGTAGTGATTTCACACTGCTGTAAAACCCATGCTCATAAAGTTGTAGTTCACCAATATTTCTGCTCCCAACTACTGAGTGTCATGCTTCAGTCCGTCTTATCCACTTGCGTATTATCCCTTCATAGTATAAATTGTCTGAATCATAGTGCTTAAGATTTCAAATAGTTGATGGTTACATTCTGTCTTAAGTAGTATAATTTAGGTTTAGGACAGAGTAAGGTAAGCATCTGCTTTTTTACTCAGTTGTATTTTAAAGTAGCAATTTTGCATGATCAGTGAACTCAATATTAGTATGGTTGGTTTGAAATGTTTATGCAATCTTCAGTAAATAATTCTTGTTTTTGTCGTACCTAATCTTCTGAAGTTTTTCTCACAAATTAAAATAGATTGAGCATGAGATGGATTGTTTATGACGATAAAACGGCATAATTGCTATGTCACAACAAACAGAAAAATGAGTTAGTGACGCTTCACAACTTAAAATAGGTCTAGAAACGTTAGAAATAGACTACCTAACTAAACATAATATGTAAAAGGTATAAGTTGATAGTTAGGTGACAAGTATATTAGTAGTGATAAAAAACAACAGCTCAAATCAACGTGTAAACATAGATAGGTCAAAGCTCAGAAAAATAAACGTTAAAGTCACTTAGTAAGAAGTGTGTAGATAATCAAATAGTAATGAATCTTACAAAAGGAGCTAAAAGGGACAAACGAACGTAGGATAATCTATTCTATGGTTATTGTTTACTCAATATGAACTTAAACATTACGGTATATTAGAGTAAGCCTGATGTAAATCTAGTTGAAAACAATGTTGTTTGCCTATATGTATTACAATTCATTATATTATTATAAATTAATTTATAATAACTACCATAATTATATTTCTCGAGAGATTTTTCCTGTTTAATGGTAAATTTTACAGCAGCAGTACTTAACAGCATGTTATTGGGCCGACAAACTTGTTTGTTTGGAAAAATGTATGGAATAATCTGAAGTTCATTCAATAAACTAATTTAGATCGTTCAGAAGATGTATTGCTTTATGCCAAAGCCCTGTATTATAGTCGACAATATCATCGTGCAATAGCTTTAATTCAAAATTGTAAGGAGTTAAAAGTACGTTAACTGGGATGTTTAAAAAAACAATATAGCAATCACTTGTTTGTCGTTATTTCATTGCCCAGTGTTATTACGCTTGCTCAGAATACAAAAAGGCTCTTGAATTTCTCGAACAGTCTGATTGTAATTCTACCGATTTCAATTCTAATGTGACGTCACTGGTTGCTGGTTCTTTATCTAAACAACTATGTATATCAACAGACTGTCAGAATGCTGTAAATGATGATTCCACAAAACAATCGAATACTGTATCAGACAGTTTGATAAGCGGTTTTACTACAGAACAAGTAGTTTACTATTCGTTGAATATCCTATCTTGATATTTCTTAGCTTCATAGTAGTATTGCATTATTGAAGGGAAAGTTATATGAATTAATGGAAAATAGATCTTTGGCAATGCAATTTTATAAAGAAGCTTTACTTCTTGACGTAACATGTTATGAAGCTTTCGAAAAACTTGTACACTTTCAATCAATTAGCTCAGAAGAAGGTGAGTAATGATAGTAGTAATTTGGGTTCTATTCATCTGGTAACAGAGTCTGCTTTGCTGACCGAACTGAACTTCGCTGATCATCTCAATCCGTTGATGAGCAAATTGGCTGAATTTCTTTACAAAGATAAACTAAACAAGGTAATTGTTTGTATAAGTGTTTTTGAAAATATTTCTTTGCCTAAAAGAATTCAGCATCAGAAACTAAGGTACCTGGTGAATTTGACTCATTGACCAACAATGTCGACGTTATTGTTAATAAAGCTGGACGTATGTTAGATGTTTGTCGATTTCAGGAATGCTACGATATTACATCCAGGTATAAAACAAATAAGAATAGTGATATATTATCAATATTTTTTTCTTTCTTTAGATTAATGCAATCAGATCCATATAATTTAGCATGTTTACCAATTCATATTTCTGTTTTAAAAGAATTAGAAAAAGCAAATGGTATCTATATGATTTTTCATAGACTTTTATAGTTTTACTTCTGAAGAGTTATTCAAAGTATCTCATAAACTTATGGATGTGTATCCGTCAAGTGCAGTAAGTTAGCTTTGATATTCGAGATAGATTTCTTTTTATATAGCTTGCCTGGTTTGCGGTGGGTTGTTACTATCTGTGCATTAAAAAGAATGAACTTGCAAGACGACATCTTGTGTAAGTAATTGTTCAGACATTGAATTATACCATGTGTATTGCTTAATTGTTACCTATGAATAACTGTTTCGGTGTGTTATTTAATTTTTAGGAAGGCTTCACAATTAGATAGAAGATATGGTCCTATATGGCTTACACTTGGGCATGCATTTGCTGCTGATGGTGAACATGATCAAGCTATTGCTTCTTATTGTACAGCTGCTCAAGTTATTCGAGGGTAGGCTTAAATTAAGAATACATTAAAAGGTTTTTATTTCTTTACAACAATAAGTCAGATCTAAGTGGGCAGAACATAATTCGACTTAAAGTATCGTTTACCATAATGTTAGGACTTATTTTCTGGGACTCCGCTAATATCCACTTTGGGGACGGTACGTTTAGTAGGGATTAATGCATATCATACATTTATTATTATAAAATATGCCCGTTAGATTGTAGCCGTCAATATTTGCTTGTTTCTGGGCCAGATTTCAATTGATAGAATGGTCTGATTTTGGTGATGTCTTATTATTTTTCATGTCATAACGCACAGCATATAGAATATGTAACAAAACATTGTGATATAAAACGAGTTAATTACGACTGAATAAGCTAACCATTTAAAAAAAACCCAGTAGTTAAACGTATTTGTAAACTTATGACTAAAATTTGAGAGCTTGTAGTTCAGTCCTGTTTGGAAATATACAGCTGTGGAATTCCAGAAAGCTTTTAGTGTTATTGGAACTCAGGCTTTCTTTACATCTTCACGTTTTAGACGATGAAGCACAGCACTGTCAAACCTCCGTTAGCGAAAGTTGTTCTGAAGCCGTATAGCTCCTTAGTCAAAGGTGAATTTTTTTAACCGTAATTGTGACAAAAATTGGACAACTTCACTACCTGTTGTCAGTGCGTTTGTAATTAAAGTTGCTCCTATACTAATTAAAAATCTCAACCTATATGAGTTATTCGTAATAGTAATCACCGTTGTTCTTTCGTTTTCTTTTACCTTGACATTGTATAGTTCTCATATTCCTATTATGTATATTGGTATTGAATACAGTGCTAGCAATAATCGCAATCTAGCTGAACGATTTCTTAATCAAGCCTATTTAATTAGTCCAAGTGATCCTTTTGTTTTACATGAACTGGGGACATTGGCCTTTGAATCGCAAAAGTAAGCAAACTTTGTGTGTGAATTATGTTTTATTTTGTATTACTCCTATCGTTAACGTTTTTGATATCATTTCTATTGAATCAATCACCATGTATGTCACATGAATTTCTTCTTTCTCAACCAAGTGTCCTAGATTTTCTCAGCTAGCTTGTTGGTAATCATGATAACAATCCACTTATTAATCCAGTTATGTTCAAAGTTTTCAGTAAGTATATCCTATTTTTCACCCGTTTGGTATCACATAAGGCACATAGATCGAGGAAAATATCTACCATTTGGCTTTAGCACATTCAATCACTTTCTTATTAAACTCTTTATGTACCTCTGATACATTTCGAAAAATATTTGATAACACCTCGCTCACTTAGTTTGTGCTTTATTTACAAATAAAATGATTCTATCACATTCATTCTCTGGTAGATAATTCACTAAACCTGTTAAGCTTCGAACGGAGTTTTGGGATTTATAACTTTTCTATGCTAGCTCCATGTAAAATATGTACCGATGCATAAAGTGTACAATTATGATTTTGAATTGTATTGACTGTCCCAGGCCCTGGAGACGATTTATATTGAACTGTTTGTCACATCTGTTGTTGAATATGACCCTTCATCCGTGTTGAACTACCGCGTAATCTATTGTTTGTTGCCCTTTAAGATCTAAGGTTGCAAGTCGTGAGTTTAGAATCATTTTTCATAGTTCTTCCAATAGCCTTAAATGACTACATATTCCTAAGTGCATATAAATAAGCAGTTTTATATCGACAGAATATCATTATACTCTGACAACATAAACATATTTGAAAAATAATGGTCTCAACTGTTCGAGATCACCAACTCTTCGTTTCAGCTTTTTGCATAGAATACTCATTTAATATTAAACTATCGTCTTAAATGGATTTAATTAATCTTCTTTATCAGAATAGGAGTTTGTGGATATTGTAGTAATTCAATAGTTGAGTTCATGAGTCGATTTAAACTAGACCACTATTGAAAACCTGGAAGCACTAAACGTTCGTTTCTTCTTAGTTTAGTTAAAGTCCTAATAAAATCTTAATAATAAAGGTTAAAATAATATATTCAGTATTTAGGTTATATATCATAAGTAGTAGTGAGTTATTGAATCAATAACCTAAAGGTGAGTAGTCTAGCTTTTGTCACTGTGCATGATTGTCGAATCGAACAAATCTGTGCGTTAAAAATGTGCTTGTCCAAAATAATTAGCTTCTTTTTAAAACCGATGGTAATGCTATTATTTGTACTTAAGCTGTTCAGCTTAAAGGGCATGATCGTATCAAAAGGGATCTAGTTTAATTTTATTTATTCCCTTAAATGTGTTGGGTTTTCTTAATTCACAGTCAAGATATTTGTTTGTGGTGTATCTTCATGTAACCTTTTGATGAAAAATAGATATTTACATAATTCCAAAAAAATGATTAGTGTAACTCGTCAATTACTAGTTTATATTCTCAACTTTTAGCCACGTTTATTGGAAGAGCAGGGCTACAGGTTACTTACTACTTAGGTGTTTAAACCTAAACAATTGAACCGAGGATTTTAGTCAGTCAGCTACAACGTAGGACCAGAAACATGTATACGTCGGTCCAAGTTGCCACACCTCATTAGCACAACAGTATGAGCACCAAATTCATAGTAGTTACCTCAGTGGTAGTAAGGTATAAATAAGATTGAATATAAGAATGTGGTACAAGGAGAAAGAGTTAGTTCGTAAAAAGAAAGGTATAAAGCAATTTTAATCTCACAGTTTAAAGGGAGATAAACAATATGTACACCTACTCCGTTGTGATTGATTATGAGCCATGTCACCAAGAGTCTCCAACCACTCATTACGATAGTTACGCGGACCCCAACCAAGTTGTCTGCATCTACCAACATGGCTCAGACTAAAAGTTAGTGTCTTCAGGCACTGATGTCACGTTTTGGTTTGGCCGCCCCTAACTTTCTTCCAACCATCCCTAACACCGGTTAGCATTGCGCGCCGTGGTAACCGGTGTTCAGACATACGGAACACGTGGCCCAACCATCTCAGTCGATGAAGATTCATAACCTCATCAACTGACTTACCATCATTCGCTAATACCCTGCGTCTAACTTCACTATTACTTACCCGGTGATCCCAGCACATACCCGCAATATTTCTAAGGCACCTGTGGTCAAATACTAGTAACTTACGAGTATCTTCTACTCTTAAAGGTCATGTTTCGCAGCCGTATAGTAGAACGGAACGAACTGCCGCGCAGTATACTCGTCCCTTAATTGATAGACGGATATCTCGCCTTCGCCATAGATGACGTAAGTTGGCAAAGGCCGAACGAGCTTTTCGAATCCGTGCTGAGATTTCGTCAGACATCAACCCATTAGGGCTGATCAGACTTCCAAGATAAGTGTTGTCAACGCGTTCGATTACTTCACTCCCTATCCTTAGTTCAGGTGTTGACGCAGGCCAGTCCTGTAGCAACAACTTGCATTTAGAGGGGGGAGGAACGCATTATTGCTCAGTGTTACCAAAAGACTGAATTTTATCAGCTTCACCAAACAGAACTATGTTATCTGTGTATTCTAAGTAAGTGTATCTCGTGGTAGGAGATCAATTCCTGAAAATCCAGTTGACGAGAACGCTATTTCCAGCAGTGGGTCTATGATGAAGTTAAACAGAAATGGAGATAGCGGACAGCCTTGTTGGACACCACTTGAGGTTGCAAAATCAGATGACAGTTGCCATAAGTTCTGTGGCACGTATGTATTTGGTGCCTCCTTGTACCAATATCTGTATCTATGTGTTGATATGAAACATCTTTCACAAAGTTTGTGTACTTCTGAGGTACACCTTTCAATGAAAGACACAGCCATACGGGATTTTAACTTTTGATCAAATGTTTGAAAGTCAAAGACTGCAGCCGATTAAGCCATAGCCTCAAAATCTACAACTAATTAGAACAGTACTAAAAGATTTTGGTTACCTCATCACAATTCATTAGTAACTTTTTTCTGTACTCCTTTTTAGATATGTAGATGCTACAAGATTCTTGGTTCGAGCTTATGAAAGGGCTTGTGAATTAAGTGGACAAGTTCCTTCGCCTTTCTGGGAGCCTCTTGTTAATAATTTAGCACATTCCTATAGGAAAATGGGGTAAATCAAATTTTATCTGTAATATTGTCAGTTGAAAACTCCCACAATTTAGTAGATATAAGCAGACCATATTTATTGATATTTGTTTAAGTGTTGTTAAATAAGATGTAATTGTACTTGAGAATATGATGTAAGTGTAGTGTTATTTAGTTATATGTGAAAAACATTATTTGCCTAACTAATAACACATGTGTAAAGCAGAATAACGGTTATTCTCGGCAGTAAAATATTTTGTTAAGTAATCACGCGAACATAAACGCAAAAGTGTCAATAAAGATACATCCGTAGTGTTATTTAGTTGAAATTTTATACAAGTAAACTTCGTATCACAATCGCTTGAGAAATAATACCCTTACTCAAATTTCACGAAATATTGTCGCAATAACAATAGTGTTAATAAGCTCACACTTTCTTGTAATAAGGAATATGACTATGATTCTTTGTCTGAATCAGTCAAAAATGCTTAAATCTATCTTGAATCACCTGACCAGTCTGTGTATGTTTTTCATCGTGGCATTTCCATTTTCGGTCATTATGATTATTTGTAGATAATCAGGACAAAAAGTAATACATATGATTGTTGAGTGTATTGATATATTTAGTGTGTGACTGACTACTTAGTTCGCTGTGCTTTTACATAAATATGTTAAAACCCTTTTATTTGAACTGAGTTATAGACTTTACAGCCAAGCAATAGCTATGCACGAACTTTCACTTCGCTTAGTGCCTGAGTCTCCAACAACACTTGCATGTTTGGCAATGTTGCATGCAATCAATGGCAACCTTGAAGTTGCAGTAGACTATCTTCATCGGTCTGTTGGGGTCCAACCATCGAGCTGTGGGTCTACTTCTAGCAATGTGGCTTCTACAATGCTGAATGTATGTATTGAAGCGTTAACGGGAAAAGGAATTTATGCTTCAAATCATAAAGTTGGAAAAGGTAAGGGTGAATTGACTCGATCAGCCTTTTTATTTTCTATATTAAATGAATGCAGGAAAATCGATATCCACTATTACGGTGTATGCACACAGATTTCTACTCACAAAATATCGACTGTCGATATAATTAATCAATTAGTAAATAGAAAAGAATATATTAAAATATACAGCGCAATTAAGTAAAACTACATATGCATGACTATCAGTTTCTATTCTAAACTATGTTCAATAACATCTCATGCCACTGAGTTGCATGATATTCATGAGTTCTCCTAAAGCCATGATGAACAAACAGTTGCTAGCCCTATGCACTGCTGTCCCACAAATTGACTGCTTCTCCTGTTTTTCCACTTAGCGTCAGCAAATAATAGGGGTATGGAGGAACGTGGAGCTCTTATAGTGTCACTATCGGTCGAAAGCCCGAGTAAAGAAGGGTTATGGATGGGATTGGCAACTCTATCCTGTAGGAAGGAATCGTGCTAAAAGAACGATAGCCAGAAAAGTCATTTGAATATTTAGGCTCTGCCCTGGGAGTTTAAGGATCTTTCAAGGAAAGGACCATTTAAGTGGCTGTGAAAATAAAATACAGTCTGGCGGTGCATAAAATACGTGAAACACATTGGATGGAAGCTAGGCAGAAAATATTAGCTTTGGGATATGTGCTGCTGTATTTTTGTCATGAAGAAGAAAGTGCGTCTCGCATACAAGCAGTTACACGTTTCTAATAGAAATCTTGACAGGATAATTTCTTTTGAAAAACACCAGTCTGGATCCATTTCTAATCCCATACCTTGTAATGGCTTACCATATAAAATTTGGTGCGATACCTTACACTTTAAATTTTATTTGACTGTTCAGATTCTATCATTGGAGATTTCATTTCTTTTCCAGATATGAGTTATGGCACGCTAGCGTTGTATGAAAACCCTATGGATGTTGTGATATGCAACATCATAGTTGTCACAATCGTTTCTATGTAATTATCAGAAGGGGTTTTGTGGAGATTTTAATTTCAGTAGTTGAAATCATGAGTCAATTGGAGCTAGACCACCATGAGAAACCTGGAAGCACTGAACGACCGTCTCGTCCTAGTATGGGACTCCTCGGCAGTGCGCATCCACGATCCCGCCCCACGCAAGATTCATAGTGCTAGGAGCGTTGGTAAAATGTCATTGCCTTTTAAGACATTTTAAAGGCTTTATAGACTACCGAAATATTTTAGTTAAATGTGATGCTAGATTCAGAATTCAATTGACAAAGAACATTGTTTAAATGGTCACGGTGTGTATGCCGTGATTGCCAGTGTACACATTTTCGATTATTTATCAGAATAGATTAATACCATTCTCGGTCGAACAGTGAATCTATAGCTCTTACTCAAAAATAGAGTATAAATCATTTTATGTACCTGAGTGATCTAATCAAAACAAAGATTCAACTACGGGTTTAGGATTACTGTATATTACATATGAAGATAAATATGTTTGCTACAGTTTCGATAAAATCCAGTCGCTGAATTTAGAAAAATCAATGAATTCTATTTACTCTTGCTATTATTTTAGATATTCCAGATACTCTTCCTGAACACCTTATGACTGCTGCTGGACCAGGAAGTCTCCCAGGATCCAACCGAATTCGTTTTAAAATGGCATCAAGTGAAACTTTAAAGCCCAACAAATCGGTGCTTCAGTTGGATGTTAATTATAGAGAAAAATCTGCTAACGCTCCTAACATATCGCTGCACACAAGCGATGAAGATGTGTCCATGGACCTTGGTTAACTCCTTGGTTTTATATAACTGATTGCGATTGTCTACATAATAACCATCTACTCTTTTGTAACTAGATGTAAAACAAGACTAAGCTTTACACATGTTTTTTATGTCATTAGTTCTCAGGGATTCAAATTTTCTAAGTATAACATCTACCTTTCTCGTCTTTACGATTGTATTCACGTAGATTCGTTTTATCCTTATAATTCAGTCATAGCTGTCACTCTGATATAGTGGTCATCTCTACCTATATTATTTCTTAAAGCAATTGATACTATAGCATAAATAATTTCGAGTTGATTTTCAACCGGAAAACAAAGTCATGCTGCTGTATGATCACATACTTGAAGGTTTAATTTAAATTTGAAGGTCAACGATTTACTTCTTCGTATATCATTACAATTGTGACGGGGAATAAGAGTCGCTGTTTAGATCAATGTAGCTGACGAAAACTTCTAGTCGTTTCTAATACGTCCATGCACTATGCTAATATTTCGCAACCCCGACTTCATTACAATGAACGAGACTACTATCCTCTTCTTTACTGGCCCCTATAACTGGAGTAAAAAGATTGAAGCGTTTAGACAGTGACCTCAGTACACCAACCGAAAATGCATTCAAGTTAATGGATTATGTATAAGTTACAATCATTCAAATTTATGGACTAGTTATTCGTCACCAAGCCAAAATATTATTAAAAATGTATCGGAAGCCTGTGAGTACAGTCCACACTAGATCACTTAATGTAACTGAAATGCATCTGAATCAATATTGATTTCCTTTCTCGTAAGCTGTATTTAGGAACTGGACATCTTTAATAGTTTTAGATACAACACTGTGTGAAATAAGGTTCATAATCAGGAATACCGCTACTCACTACACTTTGACCTACACTGTTGTATCTCCAAGTACTACACTACTCAGATAATGAGAAACACAATAGTGCTAAAATAGGTACTGTTAGAAAAAGATGAATTAAGTATGTACTCTACATTTTATATTGTAGCTTCGTTTGAGTCACTCATGGGTTTCTCTTTTACAAGGCTAAACATAAGTCGGTAATTTCATGGAATAGAGTACTAAGGTTTTTACTTCATTCTTATTACAGACAACATCAACTCAAATACAAACTAAGCATGCAGCGCATAACGTTCTTCCCCACCATTTCGTTAACAATAAGAGTTTGGTCTGTCAAAACGCCCAAGAAACAGGCTTCTAAATTTTTTGCGGTCATGAGTGAGCGGTTGAATCTGCCACTATATCTACAAGACAGGACATAGGAACCGAATGTACCATATATTAATAGTCATTGGTCTAGCTTTATAATCTAATTTTCGAACTGAGCAATCTCCCAACTGTATGGGTCTTGTAACGGTACATATATACAAGCTATTGAAGCACTTAAACGATCACTGAATCTGACATATCTGAGTGAACAGTGGTGGTTTGCACGTAAATTTAAAAACAATTTGGAATGTAAACTGGTCAAATTCACTACTACTATGAATATAGTTATTACTATTCGTCTGCTTTTTACTCCTACTGTGCTAATATAGAGTACGAAAAATTGGCATGGGTTTACAATAGTTGCGACCGATTTTCACAGAAAGGAATTTCGGGGAATCTCAAGATACTTATTACATGTAAATTTTTTGGGACTTTACGTAAGTAGTGATTAGAACATACAAATCGATAAAAATGTATTCGATTCTATGTACATGGCTACGTAACATTTTTAGTGACTAGTTTATATACAAAGTTCTTAATCCGTTTAAGTATCACTGGGTAAACGCTCCAAATGAATTAAATTAAATGAAGTTACTTGAATGTAGGAAGAAACGAAGAATTATAGTACTGTAATGACTGTGAGGCACTTGGTACGGACGAATCAAGATTGAGACGAACAGGCCAAAAAGAACTATTGTTATGTGGGTTTGTGAGTGTATACGAATTAGGAGTGGCATATGGTGGGAACGATCTGGGCAAATTCATTAGATTGAGTGGAATTGAAGGGGTTTTATGGTTAGTAGACTGATTAGCATACACTGGAGGGCATACAGGTTGAGAAAATGATGTACGATTATTCAGAGTTGAAGGATATTGAAAGGTGTTTGAGGAATACGAAAGGTAGGGTAAACTACTGGCCGGATGCGATTCTAAGTGGTTTGAAGTAGGGACTCGTTTTCTCTCGGTAGGTGGTTCATTAACACCTAGAAAATCAGCAATAGCAGATAGTCGTCTTCCAGCTGGATTGTGTAGTTGGGAGTTTGTGGTTGAACCGTGGTTAACTTCACCCCTCATTCCGCGCCTAAAATATCTTGGGGTTTTTATCCAGTTCTGCTTTTGAGCTTTTTTAAGTTCACAGCGTTTTGAAAATATGGTGTACGCGTCGAATATTTTTTCATCATTTGTAAGGTTATCTGGTGCTGGTTGGTGCATTGTATTTTGTGGTTCATATGAATTAATAAATGATTTTAAAGGAGGATTGTTTTGCGCATGCCGATTAAATGACGTTGAAACGACTTGATTTTTGTGAAACTCAGCACCTCTTTGAGGTGAATTTGGGATATTATTTAGTCCTTCTCTGTTGATTGGCACGGGAGCATAAACAGGTCTTGAGACGTCCAGGTGATGAGAGGGGTTAACATGCTCCATATTCGTAGTCAAAGGTGTATTGTTTGCAGTCGAACCTACGGAAGCGCCTGACAAAACGAAAAATTGGTGTAAGCTATAAATAAGAAACTAAACTGACTAAAAACATGTAAATCTCAGACAGCCCCTAAATAGTAGACATGATAAAGTCAAAATATTTGTAGGAAACTTAATGGTAACACTACTTGATACCTTATGACTAATAAAATACTATTAGAGACAATTAGATCGTTTTGTACTAAAAATAAATGTCACATTTATAGAAATGTCACTCATGTAGTTAACAGTTTGCTATCCATCAATCAAATTATAATATGAACTCATTAGACGAGTTTATTTTACTGGTTGTATCAAATGACTAGGTAGTTGTAGAAACATTGTATGATTGTGTAGGAAAGTATTGGTTCTTAGTAGTTTATTCATCTTACGAATAGAAGCAACGTATATGGATGCTTGGCTGTTAAAAAGTCTAGGACTTCAACAATTGGGAATTCGCCTACGGCAGTGACTTATTAATTGGAACAAAGGGCTTTCCGCAAGTAAGTCCCAAGTTCAAACCTCGCATCACTAGCCTTATTGCAAACAGTATGAATCAAAGTATATCATTTTCTACTTGACAAATGAGTCACATCAAACTAAGTATTTTAGCATACAACAGAATAAGTGTTGACTTACAGTGTACTTGATCTTCAAGTCCTGATATTTGATTATAAACAGGAGATATATATTGCTGATTATCTCTGTTAATAATCTGCTGACTGGAATTTTTCATCTCAGTTACATTGATATTTTTTTCTTTTAACGTTGGATTTAGACTCTTAGGTAACTGTCCGGAAGATTTGAGAGCATCGATAGCTGATAATATTACATTAAATGCACTGCTGGATAAAGCTATTCGAGTGCTATTCTCCCCTAAATTAGCATTGCGTTCATTTAAGCTCCCAGTGTTTTGAGGAATAGGGTAGTTGTAATTCTTGTACATAGGAACTGAAGGGCCTACTGGAGTTCCAAGTGGTGGGAGAATTAAACCTTTGTCAAATCTTCTAAGACAATGGATTATTAAATTAAACACAAACAAAGATATAGTTTTAATGATAATTTGAAGACAAAAAGTGTCAATACAAAAGCAAAGAATTGGATAATTAAAAGTATTAGTTTTGTGCTAACAATATCGATCCAAACAGTTAGTCAAAGCAACTACGAGGTATTCATTGACTTGGACACATACACAAAAATAATAAGTTGTTTGGGATTTCATTCTAACTACATAAATATGAGGAAAACAGTTTTTCGGGGGGAGGCAATTTTGATGACTAGGGAGTCATCAAATTTTAGGACTTTCGTTGGGATAATTCTACCGACTGAAACACATTTGATTAAGTCTGTTCACTTTCGTAATTTAGACAAAGTAATAAGCAAAAACCTATGATTCAGATCACTTTGTAAGTAAAGAAGTAGGGGGTCTCTACATGATACAGTCGGGTGGCAGTAGTCATTGATGTGAGTCAAATGACCGTTAGAAAATACTAAAACAATGAGTTGAGTGAGCAACAATTCTCCATATGTTGCTTTTTATTTCGTCACTGAATGCATGAAACATGAAAGTTACAGGGACTTGATACCAGATATCTTCCTACAAAAAATTACTAGCTACGTCATTATGTAAACTTTAATTGATTGAGACGGCTAAGAAATAGTTTACATGTACGCTAGCCAGAACAAGGGTGAGTAGTCAGAACTTTTAAAGAGGTCTAGATTACACACGTATTGTAGTATCAGTTTAAGAAGTTTTGAAATGCTGGGTCTGAAACTTCTCAACTTTGACCAGTAGAGATTCGAGACTGAAGGTTTGGTGCTTTAGGTTATCAGGCTCATAAAAAGATGTTAAAATAAAGCTGATGCATTCTAAACATCGTCCAATTCTAATTGTTGAGTACTTTTGTTTTAGTTAATAGCACTTATTCGTTTCCACTTTACGCTGTACGAATAAAAAAATGGCGAGTTAGATTATAATGGTGTAAATATTTCCAATACAACCCATTATTTGGGACATTTTAGACCTATGTTTTAAGTTTCCCGCCTTTATTTGCTTAATGTTCACGATAGCCATTAAATATAAATAGATTTTCAAACATAAGACATCAAAATGTTTCCAGGTAAACAAAGGTTATAACAGGAAAATTCTATAATCATAATAATAAAATTGTACCAATGAATAAATTCAATCAGGCAAAAATATAACTAAATTTGCAGTATATAATAATGCTGGCGACAACGAATCAGTCAGTAACAACGTAGAACTTCGTACGTACGTATGTACGTACATCAGTTCGAGTTGTCATACTACATTAGCACACAGATACAATTGTCAATTCAAATCCCGTAGTGGTAGTAAAAGTATAAGCAGTAATCGGAAATATTAGGGTTCGAAGATGTTATTCAAGGAGTATAATCCAGTGAAATAAAATTTGAAATAGGAAAAAAGGGACATGGAGAACTCAGAAGATTAGAATTTCGGTTTATTTGTTGTCACCAAATAAGCCATGATGTGTTCATAGGCCTGTCGTGTAAACCGTAATCTTGATAAATAATATTACAGTTTTAACGTAACAATGAGATGATGTATTTTGCTTAATCCATTAAAGTAATATACTCCATGAAACCAACAAGGTTATATAAAATGATGTACAGATATTAACAAAAAATATGCCCAATTCTTAAAACTAGTCAATTTCTA